TCTTGGTGCTGACAACGCTTTGGGAATAAACCATTTTATTGCGGTTGTGAAGCTTTGTTGGACTGGACCCAGAACTAAGGTCAAAAGGAAATGGCTGAATCACCAGGTCTATTAATACTAGCCAAGCCCAATACTGACCGGAGTATACTGCCAATGGACACACAATATGGGGACCTTGCACCGCAGGACTTTTCATTTTTGCCTGGGGAGACACTTTCAGAGTTCAGTCAGCATTCTCTGTTCTAGTTTTGCTGATCTCTATGACTAAATATCGTTTTGCTACTTATGACATAACCTTGTGCATGGTCAGCGGGACAAATTCTTGCGACTGGTGGTGATACAAACTGTAGTGGTTGTGAAACCTGATACTTGAACAGAGAGTTTGCTTTCACATCACAATTTGCTGTGGTAGGATCAGAGGCTTCTCAGAAAATAGTTGCAAGCACTCCTTCAGAGTCAAAACCTTGTCTCCGCCCCCCTACCCACCTCCGAGCACCGTCCCTTGGTTCCACCACCTACCCACCTCCGAGCATGGTCCCTTGGTTCCACCACCTACCCACCTCCAAGCATCGTCCCTTGGTTCCACCACATACCCACCTCCGAGCATGGTCCCTTGGTTCCACCACCTACCCACTCTCCGAGCACCGTCCCTTGGTTCCACCACATACCCACCTCCGAGCATGGTCTCTTTGTTCCACCACCTACCCACCTCCAAGCATGGTCCCTTGGTTCCACCACCTACCCACCCCCGAGCATGGTCCCTTGGTTTCAGCACCTACACACCTCCGAGCACCGTCCCTTGGTTCTACCACCTACCCACCTCTGAGCACCGTCCCTTGGTTCCACCACCTACCCACCTCCGAGCATGGTCCCTTGGTTCCACCACCTACCCACCTCCAAGCATCGTCCCTTGGTTCCACCACATACCCACCTCAGAGCACCCTCCCTTGGTTCCACCACCTATCCACCTCTGAGCACAGTCCCTTGGTTCCATCACCTACCCACCTCCGAGCACCCTCTCTTGGTTCCACCACCTACCCACCTCCGAGCACCGTCCCTTGGTTCCACCACCTACCCACCTCCCAGCATGGCCCTTTTAGAGATTACACAGCCAAGCATAATTTATGGTGTTAAGTAAGATGTATGGAATTTTTTATTGATAATAAGAAAAGCAAACAAAATGGATCACCTGCAGCCAATAACAGTAGACCCCCTTCAGCAACAACAGGCCCCCCGCAACAAAATATCCCAGTAACAATAGATCACACTCTGCAACAATATATCTCCCAGCAGCCAGCAACAATAGGCCCCCCTTAAATAGTAGATCCTTCCCAGCAACAACTGACCCCCCACCAACAATAGATCCCACACCAGCAACAATAGACCTCCCTAGAAACAAAAGACCCCCCCACCAGCAAACAGATCTCCCTAACAACAAGAGACATCCCCCACAATAATAGATCCCCCCACCGACAATATATCCCACAGCAACCAGCAACAATAGACGCTCCAGCATACCCTATCGGCCCTTGCCATTAGATCCTTTCCAACAACAATTGACCCCCAGCAACAACAGACTCCCCACCAGAAACAATAGACCTCCCTAGCTTTAAAACACCCCCACCAGCAGCAATAGACCTCTCTAACAACAAGAGACATCCCTCGCAACAATAGATCCCCCACTGACTAAAGCTCCCCACCAGCAACAATAGACGTTCCAGCATACCCTATCGCCCCTTGCCATTACATGCATTCAGTGCTGGAGGTGCCAGAACTCCAGGTTTCCCTGCATTCCCACTGAAAAAAGCCATGGGTATGACCTGTAGGCAGCAAAACTCCACCCCCTGCAACAAAATACCTGCAGTGACAATAGGTAAACCTGAGCAACAATAGACTCCCCCAACAGTAGATCTTTTCCAGCAACAATTGACCCCCAGCAACAACAGACTCCCCACCAGAAACAATAGACCTCCCTAGCTTTAAAACACCCCCACTATCAGCTATAGACCTCTCTAAAAAAACAAGAGACACCCCTTGCAACAATGGATCCCCCACTGACAAAAGCTCCCCACCAGCAACAATAGATCCACTGTCAATAATAGATCCCCACAAGCAACAATAGATCCCCCTTGATAACAGAGACCCTCCAGCACACCCCAACACCCCTTGCCATTACATACATTCAGTGCTGGAGGTGCCATAACTGCATCCTCCCCACATTCCCTCTGAAAGAATGCCATGGGTATGACCCTGGATGCAGCTCCTGTGTGGAATACAACATATCAGCTTGGGTTTTTGCTTTCCGAGACCGATCTTTGGCTCTCCCCTGTTCACAATGCACATATTATTGAAGAGCCTTCTCTACGTACAGGCTCTCGAAGTATCCGTTGTGCCCAGCAGGATCAATTCAGTGGGATGGTTTAATCCTGAATTCTATTTGAACCAGGGGCGGATTGACCATTTGGGTACTCGGGCACTGCCCGAGGGCCCGGGGTCAGTAGGGGGCCCCATGAGATGTCCCTGGTACCTTTCATAGGCTTTTTTGGGTGTGGTTTGAGTGTGGGTGAGGACACAGGGGCCCGATGATCCCCTATTGCCCAGGGGCCCGATGAGTTGTCAGTTCACCCCTGATTTGAACCCTTTATGCTGGGACTGTATCCCAGCATGAAGGGTTCAATAGAATTCAGGATTAAGCCATCCCACTGAATTGATCCTGCTGGGCACAACAGATACTTCAAGAGCCTGTACGTAGAGAAGGTTCTCGGCTGCCCTTTGCAATGCCAAATCTGCCAAAACTCCACAAGAACTTCACTCGGTCCTGGGGGGGTCCCGCCACGGGAATATTATCGGTATTTGCAATTGCGCCACTGGGTCCTATTCCTCCGTCGTACCTCTACATATCCTTACCTCAAAACGCCCTTTGAACACACTTGTCAGCATTGCCCAGGGTCCCCTGGCCTTATTTCTGTAATTTATGCCTCCCTTAACAGTAGGTCTTCCTCATCGCCCCTGTCTTATGTTTCTCAATGGAGTGAGATCTGGGTGTTTCGATTGCGGCGGAGGATTGGCGTAAGGCCTGGAGGATGGTGGCGAAATGTTCATTTAATACAGTCACTCATGAGGCAGCCTAAAAAGTTCTACTACGATGGTACTGGGTCCTAGCTCGGACTGCTCACTTTAATCCGACTGGCGGAGATGGGTGTTTCCGGAACTGTGGTCTTCGTGGGGACATCGTGCACATTTGGTGGTCGTGCCCGCGATTGATAGGCTTCTGGTCTAGGGTTTTCGGCTTGCTTCAAACACTATTTCATATTACGGTCCGTAGGGATGTAAGGGTGGCCCTCCTGCATTGCTCAATTTTGGGTCTGTCTAGGTCTCAACAGAAATTGGCATCCTACCTATTCATTTCGGCCAAACGTGTTATAGCTCAAGCTTGGAGAACCCCTTCGGTAGTCTTCCAAGGGGTGAGGACCCGGATGAATGCTATGTTGTTCAATGAGCAGATGTCTAGAATTCTTCATGATTCTCATCCGAGATTCCTTAAGGTTTGAGAACCTTGGATACGTTATTCCTTGCCATCCCTGCCTCCTACTAGTTATGGCCTCCTATAGTTGCTGCTGGTGCTAGCCGCGGATCCGTGATTCCTTTAGTTTCCCTTCTTTCATGTTTTCTTTCTGATTCCCTTTTGTTTTATTTTCTCTTTTCTTCTAACCTCTTTTCTTTTCTCTTTTTTTCCAATATTATGTTGGATTATTGCTGCTATTTGGCTCGGCTGTTTGCCGTCCCTTCTTGATGTCATTGGACTTTTTTTTATTTGCCTAATACAAGTCAGCAGGATGTCCCGGTTTATATGTTACTGTCCTGCTCTGCCCCTGCGAGGGCGTATTTTGAGCTTGTTATATTCTTAAAAATCAACACTTTCCTAATAAAAATATTGAAACAGAAAAGACCTCTTGGGACGGTGTCATTCCCTTCAGGTCTTTTGTTTCTGGGAAGATTCAATACTTCTGGGATATTGACGATGCCAGGGAGTCGAGTCGGGATTAGGCCACGAATTCTATTCTACTTTCATGTCACGTAGATTAATAAATGCTGTGACCTCCGCACGTCGGCGCCCTGATCTCCAGACTGGTAATACATACAGAAGTGATGGGAAGATGGATGTCACGGTGATAAGCTGCAGGAGTGCCGTGTGGAATATGATTGTAATGTCTGGTAATGAGATTACGGCATCCAGTAATAAGATCACCAGCACTATTACCGCCCATACAGTGACTGCGCGCTTCCACCTCGACCCGCACACCGCCAAGACAAAGCCTCCATGTGAGATAGAGTCATCTCCATCTAAAACTCCTTCCACAAACGGGGGATTTCCTGATCTTCATGCACAGCAGCGGAGGTGGCCGTCATTCCCTGGATGATGGTATTTGTAGTGCACAATGATGAGATCACGGAAATCGCCATACTCAGCGCTCTATGCCAACCTTTCCCAACCTTTCCAACATGGAGAAACCCTTCAAATAATAGTCAAGTCTCATGGAAGCCTCTGATAAAAGTTACTATATCTACAGCTGATGGTACATGAGTGTAATGGTCAGGGAAGAATGCTCCTTACATTGGTGATTTGTGGGAAGAATGTCCCTTACATTGGTGGGGTCAGTGGGAAGAATGCTCCTTACATTGGTGGTGGGAAGAATGTCCCTTACATTGGGGGTCAGTGGAAGAATGTCCCTTACATTGGGATCAGTGGGAAGAATGTCCCTTTACATTGGGGGTCAGTGGGAAGAATGTCCCTTACATTGGTGGTCAGTGGGAAGAATGTCCCTTACATTGGGGGTCATGGGAAGAATGTCCCTTACATTGGTGGTCAGTGGGAAGAATGTTCCTAAAATTGTTGATCAATGGGGAGAATCCTACTCTTACAGATAGCTAAAAGATCAATGGTGTCAGTGGTTACTCATCTGAGAGATAGAAGTTGCTCATTGCTCAAGGGACCCCTAGCAATCTCTGAAGGAACCCTGGCTGGGACATCCTGCATAATATCCACATCGCACACATTCCTTGGAATGGCTGGAGATAAGGAACATTCTTCCCACTGACCCCCAATGTAAGGGACATTCTTCCCACTGATCCCCAATGTAAGGGACATTCTTCCCACTGACCCCCAATGTAAGGGACATTCTTCCCACTGACCCCCAATGTAAGGGACATTCTTCCCACTGATCACCAATGTAAGGGACATTCTTCCCACTGATCACCAATGTAAGGAACATTCTTCCCTTCCCACTGATCACTAATGTAAGGGACATTCTTCCCACTGACCCCCAATGTAAGGGACATTCTTCCCACTGACCCCCAATGTAAGGAACATTCTTCCCACTGACCCCCAATGTAAGGGACATTCTTCCCACTGATCACCAATGTAAGGGGCATTCTTCCCATGACCGCCAATGTAAGGGGCATTCTTCCCACTGACCCCCAATGTAAGGGACATTCTTCCCACTGATCACCAATGTAAGGGACATTCTTCCCACTGACCCCCAATGTAAGGGACATTCTTCCCACTGATCACCAATGTAAGGGACATTCTTCCCACTGATCACCAATGTAAGGGACATTCTTCCCACTGACCTCCAATGTAAGGGACATTCTTCCCACTGACCTCCAATGTAAGGGACATTCTTCCCAACCCCCAATGTAAGGGACATTCTTTCCCACTACTGACCCGCAATGTAAGGGACATTCTTCCCACTGACCACCAATGTAAGGGACATTCTTCTATCGACACTCAAATATATATATACTGCATATCTATCTATCTATCTATCTATCTATCTATCTATCTATCTATCTATCTATCTATCTATCTATCTATCTATCTATCTATCTATCTATCTATCTATCTATCTATCTATCTATCTATCTATCTATCTATCTATCTATCTATCTATCTATCTATCTATCTATCTATCTATCTATCTATCTATCTATCTATCTATCTATCTATCTATCTATCTATCTATCTATCTATCTATCTATCTATCTATCTATCTATCTATTATCTATCTATCTATATGAGTGTCTGAAATTTTTTGGCAGGTGGGGGCAGGGAGGATAGACGGGATTTGGCAGAGAAAGTTAATGAAATCATTGTGTGGGAATTGTGCAGCAAAACTCGGTTCAAGCCGTTAATTACAGCCGAGTAAATGGATTAAGCGATCGGAGTTCAGGAACACAGCGGTGTCACGACTTCCACAGCGGGATTTTCTTCAGACTGTCAGAGCGGAGAGACGAGTCCATCCGCAGCCATTTACTGGCACCACCAACAGGAGAACGGGCGGCTTTGTATGAGACGCGGGGAAACCTCTGTACTGCAGACTGAGGGCCACAATGATGGGCGGGTTCTCCCTGACTGTGGAAATGCTGAATCTCCACACTCAACTGCCCAACACATCATACACCGCTACACATCCCATATGTAATATAGTGTAGAACAGAGGTCTCCCAACAGTGGCCCGGGGACCGGATGTGGTCCTTTGCTTTAATCTGGCCCTTGGAGCACTATTTCATCCATTGACACCAACAATGAGGATTAATTCCCCCAACTGACACTGCTGAAGGGGCGCAATTCCATCCAATGACACCAATGATGGGACACAATTCCTCCCAATGACACCAACTGTGAGGCACAATTCTGTTCAATGACACCAAAAATGGGGCCCAATAGCATCAATGATGGAGTACAATTCCTCCCAATGACACCAAGGATGGGGAATGATTCCCCATTGACACCAACAATGGGGTACAATTCCTCTTATTGACACCACCTGATATATAACATAACTATCACCATTCTATATATAATGTACTCCCCTCATGCCTGTCTGTCCATATAATACAGACAGGGCTGGTGCTAGACTATTTTGTGCCCTAGTCAAGACAAGCTACTTACACCCCCCCTTCCCCCTCAAAATAAATAAATAGATAAATAAATAAAAATAAAACTTCACCTATAGTTCTACTTCACCCCTCCTAGCACAAATCCTCTCCCCCAAATCCCCCATCCCAGCATAAATCCCCCTCAATCCCTTCTCCTAGCACACACCCCCAATCCCCTTTCTTAGCACAACCCCCCCCCAATCCCCTCTCCTAGCACACACCCCCAATCCCCTCTCTTAGCACAACCCCCCCAATCCCCTCTCCTAGCACACACCCCCAATCCTCCCTCTTAGCACAACACCCCCCCCCAATCCCCTCTCCTAGCACACCCCCCCAATCCTCTCTCTTAGCACAACCCCCCCCCCCAATCCCCTCTCCTAGCACAACCCCCCAATCCTCTCTCTTAGCACAACCCCCTCCAATCCCCTTTCCTAGCACACCCCCCCAATCCTCTCTCCTAGCGCAAATCCCCCCCATCCCCACTCCTAACACAAATCCCTCTCCTAGCACAACCCCCCCCCCCAAATCCTCTCTTCTAGCACACACACCCCAATCCTCCCCCCCCTTATACAAATGCCCCCAAATACCTCCTCTAGCTAAAATTCCTCCCAATTACCCTTCCGAGAATATAATATTTTCTTCTTTAATCCCCCCCAGCACAAACAGCCCCCATGCCTCCTCCTGCACAAATGATTGTTAACCCCCCCCCTTTTATTGAGTAAAGTTCCCCCAGCCTGTAAGCTGCCTACCCCAACTTACAGGCAGGAGACCAGGTAGAGGTGCAGGCTGTGCTCTCACTCCCATCAGTGGAGCAATCCTCCATGCAGCAGATGACACAGGATCACGATTGTATCAGGATGTACAGTTTGATTACCCCGCCCCCTATTTCCACCAATGACTGCTCATTTCTCGGTAGCAGGCAGCCAGGGAATGAATCAAACACTGAACACGCCGATGTAAGACCGATCCTGTGTCATCTATTTATGTGTCATTTATTCAGTGCTCCTACTCCTTGACCTCTCTGCGGCCTTCGACACAGTCGACCTCCCCCTCCTCCTTAAAAAAACTACACTCCCTCGGCCTCAGAGATTCTGCTCTCTCCTGGCTCTCATCCTACCTGTCACAACGCTCCTTCAGCGTTCCCTATAATGCTACCACCTCCCCCTCACTCCCCCTCTCTGTTGGGGTCCCTCAAGGCTCCGTCCTCGGGCCCCTTCTCTTCTCCATCTACACCTCCTCCCTTTGCCAACTCATACACTCTCACGGCTTCAACTACCACCTCTATGCCGACGACACACAAATCTATCTCTCAACCCCCCACCTCACCCCCTCGGTCTCCGCCCGAATCACACACCTACTGAGCGACATATCAGACTGGATGTCGCTCCACTTCCTTAAACTGAACCTCTCCAAAACCGAGTTTCTTGTCTTCCCCCCAGCCCGAACACCACCCCCCATTGACTTCTCCGTCACATCCAACAACGCCACCATCAAACCCGCCCTGCAGGCCAGAGTACTGGGTGTCATTCTGGACTCCAACCTATCCTTCCAGCCCCAAGTCCAATCTTTAACAAACTCATGCAGACTCCACCTCCGCAACATCGCCAAAATCCGCACGTTCCTAACCCCAGAAACCACTAAACAGCTCATCCACTCCCTCATCATATCACGACTCGACTACTGCAACTCCCTCCTCACTGGCCTGCCTCGCCGTTGGCTATCCCCGCTTCAGTCCATCCTGAATACGGCTGCCGGACTCATTCACCTTTCCAACCGCTCCGTCTCCGCCCCCCCCCCCCCCCCCCCGCCAATCCCTCCACTGGCTTCCGATTGCACAACGGATCAAATTCAAAATCCTAACACTGATGTACAAAGCCGTCCACCATACTGCCCCGTACTACATCACCGACCTAATATCCAAGTACCGCCCAGCACGCACACTCCGCTCCTCACAAGACCTCCTTCTCTCTAGTTCCCTGGTCTCCTCCTCCCATGCCCGCCTCCAGGACTTCTCCAGGGTGTCACCCATCCTCTGGAACTCCCTGCCCCAACCCAATCAGATTATCACCTACTCTCCTCTCCTTTAGGCGCACCCTGAAAACCCATCTCTTCAGGGAAGCCTACCCCACCCCCTGCTAACTTGCCGACCTCCTCCACTCTTCCTACCACTCCATCCCCCACAGCTATCTCCTCCTGTGCCACCATCCCCTCCCTCCTAGATTGTAAGCTCCAAGGAGCAGGGCCCTTGATCCCCTCATGTTTTGCATTGTATTGTTATTGTTCTGTCACATGTTCTGTCCCCCTTTGTAATGTACAGCGCTGAGCGAACTATCGGCGCTTTATAAATACTGTATAATAATAATAATAATAATCTACTTTATGGAGGATCGCTCCACTGACAGGAGGAGAGAGCACAGCCTGCACCTCCCACCTCTCTTGCGTCATTTCTCCTGTGCAGGCTTCACTGCTCCACAAAGCTCTCTCCTTGGCCCAGCCATGAGTGCAGGGATAAGGGAAGGCACTCATTGGTAAGGCACAACATCCATGGAAAAAGTGAGAAGACTGGCCTGGAGGGCACAACAGAAATATGAGAGGGCTTAGCCCATCCCAGCACCCCCCTAGATCTGTCCATGGCGGAGAGTAGGGAAACCAGGGGCCGTGGCTGCGCCCTAGACAGCTGCCTAGTTCGCCTAGTGGTAGCATGGCCCTGAATACAGGGAATATTGTGTCCTCCTGTCTGTCCATGTAATACAGGGAATAATGTGTCCTCCTGTCTGTCCATATGATACAGGGAATAATGTGTCCTCCTGTCTGTCCATATGATACAGGGAATAATGTGTCCTCCTGTCTGTCCATATGATACAGGGAATAATGTGTCCTCCTGTCTGTCCATATAATACAGGGAATATTGTGTCCTCCTGTCTGTCCATATAATACAGAGAATAATGTGTCCCCCTGTCTGTCCATGTAATAGAGGGAATATTGTGTCCTCCTGTCTGTCCATATAATAGAGGGAGGGAATAATTTGTGTCCTCCTGTCTGTCCATATAAATACAGGGAATATTGTGTCCTCCTGTCTGTCCATATAATACAGGGAATATTGTGTCCTCCTGTCTGTCCATATATAATACAGAGAATAATGTGTCCCCCTGTCTGTCCATGTAATACAGGGAATATTGTGTCCTCCTGTCTGTCCATATAATACAGGGAATATTGTGTCCTCCTGTCTGTCCATATAATAGAGGGAATATTGTGTCCTCCTGTCTGTCCATATAATAGAGGGAATATTGTGTCCTCCTGTCTGTCCATATAATAGAGGGAATAATGTGTCCTCCTGTCTGTCCATATAATAGAGGGAATATTGTGTCCTCCTGTCTGTCCATATAATAGAGGGAATAATGTGTCCTCCTGTCTGTCCATATAATACAGGGAATATTGTGTCCTCCTGTCTGTCCATATAATACAGGGAATATTGTGTCCTCCTGTCTGTCCATATAATACAGGGAATAATGTGTCCTCCTGTCTGTCCATATAATACAGGGAATATTGTGTCCCCCTGTCTGTCCATATAATACACGGAATAATGTGTCCTCCTGTCTGTCCATATAATACAGGGAATAATGTGTCCTCCTGTCTGTCCATATAATACAGGGAATAATGTGTCCTCCTGTCTGTCCATATAATACAGGGAATAATGTGTCCTCCTGTCTGTCCATATAATACAGGGAATATTGTGTCCTCCTGTCTGTCCATATAATACAGAGAATAATGTGTCCCCCTGTCTGTCCATGTAATAGAGGGAATATTGTGTCCTCCTGTCTGTCCATATAATACA